ACGAACATGTTTGTCCACTTAGTTAGCGAAGGCTTACCCGATACGAACTTTGAATACGGGAACGCGTCCCGTATTTTTATCATAAATTAATGTGCTCGTGATTGCGTGGTGCGTATCTGGGAAGTCTCTCGAAGGAGAGGGGAAAGTTCCGTCAATTTTTCACCAAGTTTGTAGTGTCTTTCTCGCCCTGCTTCAACACACCTTCCACCCCGGCCTCTCAATTTTCTATCGCGTTCATCCCGCAACACCTTCGATAGAATTAAGACCCCGGTGTCTACGGCATCCGCACCGTATCTCTCGATACTTGGCCCAATCTTCCCTCGCGAAACTTCGACAAAATCACCTATAAAATACAACAGGAGGAGAGACGTCTCTCCCGGCAGGGCGAAATAAGATTTTAGTCGCGAACAGCCGCGAAATCGCGAGCATCTTATTTCTATTTTTTTCTTTTTCTTTTTTTTTTTTTTTTTTTTTGCCCGATAAAATGTTTCTCGTCAATAGTCCGGTTCGAGTAGAAATTCGCAGACAAATTTGAAATTCTATCGCGTTTCGGATTTCACGGATCGATGGACGTGTGAGATATTTTATATCCGCGGGATTTCGCAGCGAGTGTTGTTCCTCTCTTTCTTTGCTTTCCTTTTTTTCTTTTTTCTTTTTTTTTTTCAAACAGGTGTTTCAGATTTTTGTGTCTAGCAAAATTCGAGTTTACATTGTTGTATACGAGTCGTAATTTCGTCGGCGAGATTTCGAAATTAAATCCACCATGTTCGTACTCTTGAGATTACTTTCATTTTTTAATTTTCGATATTAATTTCTTCAACGCTCTTTACGTTTCTCTAAGAGATTGCCTTGGTACGTCTTGCATCACTCTGAGCGAGTGATAATCATCCTTCTTTGCTTCTTACTTCGATAATAGCGAAACCAAAGATCATTCGAGATGTTTATCAATTAATAAAGAAACAGTTAAACTCCACTATTTATTTATTTTCACTTGCATCGTCGCGTTCGAAATTCAAATATTTATACGAATCTTCATATCGAAGACCATGTTTCGAGCATAGGTAAGTTTCTTATCTCCTAATCGAGACGAAAACGCAGAGACTTCAATAAAAAAAAAATAAAAAAAAAAAAAAGAAAGAAAAAGTTGAAAACTATGAAACGAAAATTGCTCGTTTTCTTATCGATACCTTCATTTCATTTTACGTTTGGATTTTACATTTTGTGGCGCTCCAAGCGAGGTGCAGCCTTTGTTTTCCACGTGAAAAATCGCGATGATGTGTGTACGTTGGTGTGAAATTTATTTTACAATTGACTCGTTCAATGTTTTACATATATATATATATATTTTTTTTTTCAAAAATCAATTGACATACATATCTCGAACGAAATCGAATAGGAAGAAACGCAAAGAAAAGGTGAGGAACACAAACGAATGAGTCATCAGCTCATTAATGCATCCATTTCTTCTGTAATCCCTTGTCTTGTGACATTTGCATCATTTTAATTTTCGAATGTAATTTTTTAAACCGTAATCAAACGAAAAATTGCTCTTGGCATGTTGAATTTTAATAGTGAAGATAAATAATTAATTTGTTCAAGGAGATTGTAAGACAAGGGGTTAGAATGATAGAGAGAAGCATTATTTGTTATATTAATAAAATGGCGAACTTCTACGAAGGCTAAACCACGCCATGAACGAAGTATCACCGAATGATACACACAGTGTCAACTTTGTACCATAAGTAGACAACATTGAACCCACATACTCTCTTCTTGCTGGAAATTTTCTCAATCGTTCGTTCAACCCTTTGTTTCGTTTTACCAATTTTAAGTTTAAGTTTGACAAATTAAAGATGAAACCTTACTGCCGAAGACAGTTTTACGCGAGAAAATTATAAAAATCTATTATTTCTGTTGGTCATTTTATTATACACGTTAGATGGAATATTTTTTTTTTTTTTTGTTTCGCTAAAAATAGTTAAGTTCCAGAAAGTGGTATGGAAGATTAATTATTAATTTATAATTTAATACACTACCGAATTTCAAGAAAATGGTAGAAAAACTAAATAGAAAATCAACGAAACAATTTCACCTATCGTGAAAATTTCTCCAATTAATTGTTGCTGAATTTTTACAAAGGGTTGAAAACGAAGGGTTGTAACTTCGACCTCGAACTATACTGTACAGTTTGTACATAAGATGTCGCATTGCTTTCAACATTTTCTACCTCCTCTCTAAAGTATTCGTAATCCCAAGGTGTATCTTCTCTTTGATCAACCAACTTGTACTTTGCTCGAGAGAGAATTTTCTTTTTAGATGAGCAAACATTGATCGAAGATGTTCGATCAACTTCAAAGTAGTAGAATTAATCGGGTTTCCTTTTGGGAAAAAGCATTCATTCTGTTGTAAATTTTGCTAGAGTTCAAGGAAATTCGCTACGTGTCAGTAGTCGAGTAGATTTCGTAGCTGTTAGTTTCAAAAATATTATTCGCAATATTTCTCTATCAGTTGTATAATTTCTAATATTTCTTCATTGTGTAATTTACTAATTTCAACTTGGCAATGATGGCGAAACGTCTAAATAATTTTTTCCCGGAAGGAAAAACAAGCCTCGATTGTTCGAACAGATCTGAGATAATTAATTGAAAACGAATGAACTAAAAAAAAAAAGAAAAAGAAACGCGTTTTTGTTGTTTCCATTTATCGTCCACTTCTGGTCACTTAAATTTTCGTACCATATCTCAATTAATCAGAATGTGAAATTGAATTCTGCAGCTGTTGAGAAAAAAAAAAGGTAGAAAAAAAAATTTTTTTGTTGTCACGTGTATTTTATATTGCCGCATAATCGAATATTCTGCTAATCAGCGTTCGAATAATTGAGGCACCGTGTTAATTGGCCGTCGTTGAAGTAACAAGGCACCGATCGAACCGTGCATCGTACTTGTTCATCTCATCACGTCGTCAGTGTAGTTGTACGCTAGTTATATCGAGTATTACGTACTATATTACGAACGCTAGCATCGATAATGTAACGTTGAATATGTATTACGTGCAATTGTGTAACCCAAGAATAGACGACACGAAATATCGAGATTTCTATAATCTATACAATCGAGAGCCTCGAATATTTTCAATCGGAAATGATAATAATAATGTTCTGTTTTTTTATTTTTTAATGCTTTGAATATATTTTTCGAGGAATTTTCAATATTTGTGGAACTGAACAACGATGATTAGGTACTCTCGAAATTTTATTTTTAGCAGATTTTGTTTGACTGGACAATGATAATTAGGTACTTTCGAAATTTTATTTTTAGCAGATTTTGTTCGACTGGAGTTTTAAACATTCCTTTTAATAATTATTTACTTCTTTTATTTTTTAATGCTTCGAATACATTTTTCGAGGAATTTTCAATATTTGTGGAACTGAACAACGATAATTAGGTACTCTCGAAATTTTATTTTTAGCAGATTTTGTTCGACTGGAGTTTTAAACATTCCTTTTAATAATTATTTACTTCTTTTATTTTTTAATGCTTCGAATACATTTTTCGAGGAATTTTCAATATTTGTGGAACTGAACAACGATGATTAGGTACTCTCGAAATTTTATTTTTAGCAGATTTTGTTCGACTGGAGTTTTAAACATTCCTTTTGGTAATTATTTACTTCTTCGATATTAAAGAACAGTTTAAAGAGAAAAGATTGTAGGATATTTTCCACGAGTATTTTTCTCGTAAAATTATTAGAAAAAAAAAAGTTATTGTAAAGAACAGTCGACTTGAAAATGAACAACAGAGGATCGACATTTTTAATTGTTGCTTTTCATTGTCATTTAATTTTTTGAGAAAGATTTTTGAAAGAAAGACGAAGACAGAGCGATGTAAATAGTAGTTAGAAATTGTTCTATAAATGTTCTTCGATCGTTTGCGCTTTACTTTAATTCTCTTCACACTGCCTAAATACCTGAGATACTGTCTGTATTATAACTTCTGTATCTACTGTTGGTTGACTTCGTATTCTCTGCTTTCAACTCCGAGACACTGCCAATGATTGTACTACGCGTTAATTTCCAACGTATTCTTTATTTATCGATTCACACATTTTTAATTCATGTATCGAGTAAAACAATCAATTGATGGAAATGATTTTTTGTCTGATGGGAGACGATTCATTTTTACTGAATATTCTGTGAACTTTTCTGAGTCATATATTTCTTGTACTTTGTTCTTTTTTTTAAAGATTTTGTGATTCACAGTGTGTTCGTGTAACAATAAAAACAGAAAGAAAGATTTCGAAAGTTAGAACAGCGCGACAACTTGGAAAATTTTTCTACGAAATGTATTAAATCAAAGTCGTACGTTGGAAATTGTAAAAATTCGGTATTCCTATTCCTTGCGCGAGGATGAAAAGAAAAACAATTGACAAAGGATGTTTAAAATAATTGCTATTAAAATTAATAATATAATATAGTATTAAAATTAATCGAAATTGAACCGAACCTGAAAGGTGTAATCGTGTTCGTTTTATCTTATTGCCAACGATTGTCATAACGATGACGATCGATTCCTAAAATTCCTAAAAATTGTTATTTGCAGCGAACAACGCAAAAGAACAAAGGGAAATTAACGTAAATGACTTAAATAAACAGTTCGTTACTCGTTCGTTTTGAACTTCCTTCTTTTACCCGAGAGTTGTCGCCAATTTCACAAACAATTTCGCAAAGAGTTTCGAATCGTCTGGCAACGAATCACTGGCAGTGGCTCGGGCTGTAAACTTTTCTCTCAGTTTCTTCTCAGAAATGACCCGGAACGTGTCGTCGAGCTGGCTAAACTCTACTCGTGTACTATCGTATTCTCGAAGTATTATAGAATTTGCTTCGAATCGCTTCTCCTACGCGTGTTGCCCTCCCTTTTCCTCCCTTTGTTTTAAATCACGCGTGAATAGAGGACACGATCGTCACGCGAGACCCACCGGCGATGGCATTAATTGTCTGATTATTTTCTCGGTTCTTCTTTCCTACGTTCCGATGGCCGATCCCGCGGCAGAGGGTGCCACCGATCTGCCCCGTGAGACGCAGCAAAAGCTTCCCGAACGAAAGCGAGGCGACCGATCACGCAGCCGAGCTCGAGGACTTCCTCTCCTCCAGATCAGGTATTTTTCCTGTCTGTCCATTTGATCAATTTCACGACTAAAGGAAAAAGAAAGATCGCCAGTTTTAACATTCTCTGCGTGCGTGTACAATCTCTTTCAAATTAGGTAATTTATTTAATTTAATCAAGTTTACTACTTAAAGGAGTATTTTATTTTATTTAATCAATTTCGCGACTAAAAAGAAAAAAAAATCGCAAGTTCGAACATTCTTTTCAGAGGTATTTTTCGTCTTTTTGTCTTCAGGTATTTTTCCTGTCTGCTCATTTGATTAATTTCATGACTAAAGAAAAAAACAGATCGCGAGTTTTAATATTCTCTGTGTGTGCGTACGATCCCTTTCAAATTAGATGTTTCTTATTTGTATTTTATTTTATTTATTTTATTTATTTAGTTCAATTTAATTTAATCAAGTTTACTCCTTAAAGGAGTATTTTATTTAATCAATTTCGCGACTAAAAAGAAAAAAAAGATATCGCAAGTTTGAACGTTCTCTTCAGAGATATTTTTCGTCTTTTTGTCTTCAGGTATTTTTCCTGTCTGCTCATTTGATTAATTTCATGACTAAAGAAAAAAACAGATCGCGAGTTTTAATATTCTCTGTGTGTGCGTACGATCTCTTTCAAATTAGATGTTTCTTATTTATATTTTATTTATTTAGTTCAATTTAATTTAATCAAGTTTACTACTTAAAGGAGTATTTTATTTAATCAATTTCGCGACTAAAAAGAAAAAAAAATCGCAAGTTCGAACATTCTCTTCAGAGGTATTTTTGTCTTCAGGTATTTTTCCTGTCTGTTCATTTGATCAATTTCATGACTAAAGAAAAAAAAAGATCGTCGGTTTTAACATTCTCTGCGTGTACGTACAATCTGTTTTAAATTAGATGTTTCTTCTTCTTCTTCAAAAAAAAAAAAAATTTACAAAAATCGCGAGTTCTAACATTCTCTCTGTATGTGATTCGATAAGAGCGTTACAGATTTGTATGAGTATCGTGACAGGAGTATTTTATTCAATTTAATCAAGTTTATTCCTTAAAGGAGTATTTTATTTAATCAATTTCACGACTAAGAAAAAAATCGCGAGTTCGAACATTGTCTGCATGTGCGTACAAATTTTTTTCAGAGATATCTTTCCTGTCTATCAATTTGATCAATTTCACGATTAAGAAAAAAAAAAGATCGCCAGTTTTAACATTCTCTGCGTGTACGTACAACCTCTTTCAAATTAGATGTTTCTTCAAAAAAAGAAAAAAAAAAGAAAAAAGAAATTTACAAAAATCGCGCGTTCTAACATTCTCTCTGTGCGTGTGCATCTCGTGTATAGTAATTTCGATTCGATAAGAGCGTCACAGATTTGTATTTGTACCGTCAAAGGAGTATTTTATTTAATTCAATCAAGTTTACTTCTTAAACCATATACTTTGAGAAAATGTAAGAAAAAAAAAAAATTGATCTTTTTAAACCGGACTACCAGAATACCTCCTTAACTGCTATCTGCCATCTTTCCAGGTGTAACGGAACTGTCGATGGATAAGCCAGAGTTCGAGGAAGACGTGGAAGACGAGGAAGATGAAGAAGATCACTGGAAGGACGCGTCGCCCATCACGCCAACCTGCAGTCCAACCAAACACCCGCCAAAATCGAGCCAACCTGTGAAAACCGTGGAGGTGGACGTCCACGAGTTCCAGCCGACCAGCCCTCTGGACGAGAAAGACGTGATCATCATCGACAGCGGCGCCACGCCGCCTAGCAAGAAGCTGGCCACGAGGTACAACCAGGTACTGGCCACTGGGCCGGAGAAAGCGACGCCGAAAGTGAAATTAAAGCGGGAGACCAAGGTGATAGAGTCGGAGGAACCGTGTGAAAAAGTGCCTGAAACCGGGAATGTGAGGAGAGGAGCCACGAAGCGGACAGAGTCGACGGAGAAACAAGGTCCCAAAGAGGCAGTGGAGACAGATGGGATGGAGAAGGGCGCGAGGAAGAAGGTTTTGAGGAGGAAGGAACAGGATCGGAGATCGTCGAGGAGAAAGTTGGAGGAGATCGAGGAGCCAGCCTCGGAGGCTTCTAGAACGGATGCTGACGACTCTAGGCGGAGGAGAGAGTCGGAGGGCGGTCTGGTGAGATCCAGGGAAGAGAGGAAGAGCCTGAAAGAGCAGGAGTGCATAGAACGAGTGACGGAGTTTCTGACGAAGCACAGCGTGCTGAGTTACGCGGAGACGATGCCAGGCGGCGAGAGGAGAGAGGAGAGAGAGCTGGTCCAGTCGAGTTTCGTAGAAGTGGAGCAGGAAGCGAAGACAGCCGAGGAATCGTCGGTGAGAAGGTCCGAGGAGCAAGTGAAAACTCCGTCTTCTGTTGAGTCGGAGAGGCGAGTTCCAGTGTCGATTAGGTTAACGACTGATAGGCCACAAGCCGCCGTGGAAGAGGCGAAGCTGTCGGTAACGAGTCCGGAGACGGAGGCGCCGAGAGAGACCAAGCGTCGAAGCTCGATGAGAAAGAGACCCGGTGCGTTCTCCCGGGAGTCTTCGAAGGAGTCGTTGCTGACTGGAGACGAGACGAAGAAAGAGGTGAGGATACAGGAGAACGTGGAGGAGATATACTTCGAGGACACGAGCGAGCACACCAGCGCCATTCTGCCGGAGGTTCAGCTGGTGAAGGCTAGGATAATCACAGCGGAGGAGGCGGCGGCGAACCGAGTCGAGGAACCGACGAGGATCGAGATACACTCGCCGCCGGAAGTGGCCGTGGTCTCCGACTCGGTGAGAGTGAGGACCGGACGGGTGCCGTCGCCGGAAATTTTGGACACGTCGCAGCTGCAGCTGGTCAGCTTGGCCAAGTCCACGTCCGAGAACACTTTGATCGAGAGAACGAGCGAGGAGAACAAAGTGTCGGAGAGGAACATCAAGGCGGAGATATTGCTGGACTTGTCGAAAGTGTCGGAAGTTGGTGACGAGGTGTTGGAGACGGAGTCGGAGGGGGAGGCGAGGGAGAGAAAGTTGAGCAGAACCGGTAGCGAGGGCTCGAAGAGGGGCGAAAGAGGGTTGAAAAGGACGAAGTCGAGGGAGCGCGAGGGAGAGTTTAAGATTGGCAGTTTGGCGCAGCCGGACGAGCCGGAATTGACGATTCTGTTGGAGGGCACGGTCGCCGAGAGAGGCAGGAGGAACGTGATGGACGATGACCGCGACAGTTTGGTGGACTTTGGCGTGGAGAAGATGATCAGGAGGTGAGTGAGAAGCAGAAATTGTGATTGGAAAAATTGACAGGAAATTAGAAGTTTTCTTTTTTATTTTTGCCTTCTCTCTTCTCTTGGAATTACCAGAGAGCTTTCGATTCGTGTTTCTACGAATACAATTGCTCAAGTCTTCAGATGAATCGTTGATTGGTTGATGTTTGCATAGCGTACGAGCTCTTGATTTGGGTTAGGGATCAATGCTTCCTTGGCATTCAAGTCCGCTACTTCGTTTTTCCAAACGATGCCTCGACGAGAGGGTATCCAGGCTATCTGTTACACTTTTGTTCAAGTTGAAGAGTAGAGTTCGGCGCAACAAATACGAACTTTTCGTTGATAATCTCCAAACCTGTCCTATATATTATAGTTAGACTCGGTAAGACTCGGTTCGCTGAGTGAATGGAAACGGTGGAATAATTAAACGGTGCTAATTAGCGGCGGAAGTCTCGCGAAGCAGAAGTTCCCTCGATGATTCGAGGCATCCTGAAAAGGGCTTCGAACGTCGATTAATGTACAATGTTATTTTCCGCGCAGCCAGTTGGCTGGATTACGCGAGTGACCGTAGGAATCCCGCGAAATGCGCACAATTGGTTGGAAATCTAGGTCGTCTGGAACACCACACAGTGTTTCACCGACCCGAAAATTCTATAGCCCGTGCTAACTCCGTTTCAGCGTTTCTTTCTTTCTTTCTTTCTTTCTTTCTTTTTTTCCTTCTTTCTTTGTCTCTCTGCTTTTTTCCGTTTGTTCGTGTTTTCTTTCACCAGCCGATCGTCGAGCGATTAAAACACGCCCGCGGCTCAATTATTTTCGCTAGCTGCGCTCGACGTCGCTCGATATCGACAGCGCAGTGTTTGATTTTAGTAGAATATGGACGAGAACTGTTTCGTACATTTGCACATCACTGTCTCGTATCTCGCGTTTTATGCTATTTTTCATATATTGGAAGGATCGAATTATTCTTCGAGCGAAAAATTGTACTTGGGACGTACTGGATGACGAGGCGAAACAATTTGAGAGAGCTATTGTAACTTTTAAGAAATGGATGCAAAGTGCAATTGAAAGTTGCCTGAGCGACTTTTAAAAATCCCCGAAAGAAAAAAGAATGAAGTACAATTTAAAGAGGAACAGGCTAAAGAATTCTTGGAACAGTCGAAGTCCAGTTTGAATATCCCGAATCGATTTAAAATTTAATTCCATTGATTTAAAGTTCAATTTGACAATTCAGTCCTGTCGATTTAAAATTTTAAACCTGATAGTTTAATTTTGCCGATTTAAAATCTAATTTGATTATTTCCAATTTGATTAATTTTATTGTGATTATTTTTTAATCTGATTAATTTTATTTTTATTATTTTTAATTTGATTAATTTTGTCTGATTTGAAATTCGGTCTGATTGTTTTTGAAATTTGATAGTTTTAGTTGATTTAAAATCTGATTATTTTTAATTTTATTAATTTTATTATTTTATTATCATTATTTTTTATTTGATTAATTTTATTACTTTATTATTATTTTTATTATTTTTAATTTGATTAACTTTATTATTTTATTATTATTATTTTTGATTTGATTAATTTTATTTTTATTTTTATTTTTAATTTGATTAATTTGATTATTTTATTATTATTATTTTTGATTTGATTAATTTTATTTTTATTGTTACTTTATTTTTATTATTTTCAATTTGATTAATTTGATTATTTTATTATTTTATTTTTTTGATTTGATTAATTTTATTTTTATTACTTTTAATTTGATCGATTTTACTGACTTATAATTTAATAATTAACTTGATTAATTTGACTAACTGGTTTTTTATTACATTGTGTTGATAAATTTTATTGATTTGCAATTTAGTTCGACTATTCCGAAAGTCGAAGTTCGGTTTAAAGAGGAAATTGAACGAGAACAGCCAACGAGTTCGACTAGAAAATTCTGAGAACGGGCTACAATCGCTACCAAAATTTCTTAACGATATCCCGACAAACTTGCAGCTCTTCTCAACTTTCTCTCCGCGTTCCCAATCTTTTTCGCGTTCCATCCACTTCGTACGTACGAGAGAGACCGACAAAGCAGAAACGAAACGTCGCGGAACGGAAGTGGCGGCGGAAACAGCAGCGGAGGAAAGACAGGAAAGTGGGTTAAAGGAGCGGAGCGGATGCGGATATAAATGCGAAAAGATGGAGCCGCCGGGAGAGAAATCATCGCGAGGGAGGGAACGAAACCAGGCGATAAAAGATAAGGCCGAGCGAACGGGAATAATGGCGAGGAACGAAACAAGGAGTCGTGAAACAAGAAGTCGGAGAAGGAAGAGCGCCGATGTGATCGCGCTTTGTTGTTTTGTGAACGGGGGCGTTCTTAAGAGGAAGAGTTGAATAATTAAAAGAAAAGAAGGAAAAACAAAAGAAAGAAAGAAAGAAAGAAAAATAAGGAAAATGAGACGTTCGATATAGTATCAGATACAGTGCTATTACTGCGAATCGAAATAGGCGCTAAGGTTATTGTAGGAGAATATTATTTGGAAAAATTACAGAAGAATATTTGCAAAAAAATATTTCAGTCTGCTGTTTTACTATTCTCCATTGTTCTCTGTGTTTTATTTGAAAAAATACGTCGAAAGGTATCTTGTGCTTGAATAGATGAAAATTTTACCTTGGTTTGTTATCGTAGATGATCTACTAGAGTTACTATCGTATAAAACAAAAAGATATTATTATTATTATTATTACACGTATTATTGTATTCTCTGCAATATTTTATCCATTTTATCCATATTAACATGGTGATTTAGAAATTTACAATGAAACGAGTCAACATTATTAATGAAATTTGAATCTTTCGAATATCAATTTCAATCGACAGCGATTTCCAAGAAAATTAGAAATATTTGCTTGCGGATAATTAATAGTAATTGTGGTGTTTCTAGAATTTTTGGTGGTCCCCAATTTTGGAGATGCGTCTGTCGAGGAAATGAGTCGAAGTACCTTTCTTCGTCTCCTAAATATTTCATCTTAAGTTCCTGTCGTAGGTCACTAACGACTCACGTAGCACAGAAAACGTGTGAATATTGTACGAATTCTGTTTGCCCCCAGAAAGGCTTGCCATCTATTATTAATCGTTTTACGAGTACTGCAACGAGTATGCCAACGTTTCGCCTTTAATACCACGTGCCAAGAAAATTCAGAAAAGCAAGAACTTGAAAAGAAGTTATATACTTGTAATAAATTACTTGACAATGGATTCAACTGTTATATTTGATACTATTGATCTTCCTTTTCGTATATTCACAGCGAGTGGAAATAAATTTTCTTTTTTTTTTTTTTTGGCTCATCGTCAGTGAAAATTTATATTTCAGAAGTTAGTGTATTATATTATTAATTTATTATTATATTATTATATTATATTATTAATTTATTATTATATTATTATATTATATTATTAATTTATTATTATATTATTATATTATATTATTAATTTATTATTATATTATTATATTATATTATTAATTTATTATTATATTATTATATTATATTATTAATTTATTATTATATTATTATATTATATTATTAATTTATTATTAATTATTATATTATTAATTAAGTGAGATCGTTTAGTTCGGTATGAAAGCTTACGTAGATTATTTCGCGGGAACGAAAAAGGGTTCGCATCCTGCGAACACGTACATCAGCCGTAATAATTAATACATCGATGTTTAATTATTCGAAAATCTACAATATTATCGAAATGTAAAATTAAACAGAGAAGGATTAACATCCCATGAACGTAAAATACATCAGTAAACCATATTACCATCATTAATATACACCAAACTATCCACTGTTTAATTAATCGAGAATCTACAGTATTATCAAAATGGAAAATCGAGCGAGAAAGAGTCAACATTAAAATAACGTGCACGTTGTATAATATACTGAGATAATTGATCAATGTATCAATAACATCAATATATTAAATTACCAGAATCAACACACCAAATTACAATGGATGAATTGTTTTACAAAGTTAGTTAAGTTTACTTTGAAAACACACATCGAACGTTTAGTTCGTGCTGTTCGGTGAGATTGTAACAGATGATCTTATAATCAACAGTATGATAATTGGTTTATTTATTAAGTGCTCGAAGAGGATTTAATAAATAAATTTGCAATGCATCAAAAGTACAGATTTTAAAGATAAATATGTATTCTTAGTTTGCTTAGAGAGAGCTCTTTGTTCAGTGTCAAATTTTTTTAGATTTTCGACAATTTTAGACATTTGACAAAATTTCGACAATTTCTTGGCTACTTTAATTTTAATTTCCAGTTTTTTCATGAACAGTTCGAATGCTTCCTACATTCATTCTAGCTTGATATATTGGCACTGGTAATACGGTGTATTTGTCATTAATAATTTTTATATGCCACTCACATTATAGTTACTGTTTAATTTCGACAATTTTAATTTTCACTTTAATGTCGACAATCTTTTATGAAATGCTGGAATATTTTCTACGTTCACTTTGATAATATGATGTATTATTAATAATTTTAAGTATATAACATGCAGCTACTGTTTAATTTTCGACAATTTTAATTTTATCTTTAACATCTTAACAATCTTTCAGTGTGTTGGAATACTTTCTACGTCCACTCTCAATTCGATATGTCAAATACTGGCAATACTTATTAATCATTAATAATTTTATATCAGGATAATAGACACATGTTTCTAATCACTTGAGAATCTCCATTAAGCTACTAAAAATATTATATATTATTATTATTATTATTACTTTTCCCCTATTTAATTTTCATTAATATAGAATTTTTTATTAATTTTATTATATATATATATATATATTTAATATAAGTAAATTATTAAAATAATAAATATTATATATATATATATTTAATAAATAAAATATAAAAATAATAAATATTATATATATATTTAATATAAATAAATTATAAAAATAATAAATATTATATATATA